CATCACCGACTGACATGCAGCGGTGCACACAGTATCTTCCTGTGTGTGGTGATCAAAGAGAAAGAATTCAGCATCAGTCTGTTCGGCTAGCTGAGGCACCAAAGTACAATATCCAGTCTCATTTGTATTCAGTTGTACACCTGCAGCTTCAGAGCGTATGCTGTCTGTTGTGTTGGGACTTTCTTTTTGTCCAAATGCTACCTGAGGACATATAAATATAATGAACAGAGGGGCTATAGGCAACATGGCTGAAATCAACAATCACTCATGTCAGCTACTCAGTTCTTCTTTCATTTGCTCCACATGAGCCGAAAATGTTAAAAACGTCTTCATCAGCACACTTTGCATGGTAGAGACCCTGGGAACAGCAGTGCACTTTGTGGTTTTGGAGTCATGCCCACATCTGGAAATGCAGGTCATGTGATGATCCTCAGAATATAGTATAATATATACAGGTATTATAAATGTCATATATAATAAATTCATGTAATTTACATAATTAGTAAATATTCAGGTGCAGATCTAGAGAAATATTCACCGGGTAGCAAGAGAGACTTGGGGAAGGTAGAACTCGCATATATCAGTATTTGCTAAGTAAAACATTACATTGTTGTTACACATTAGTGAAGCATTGAATAGAAATGTCCAAAGCTGGCATTAGAAATCACTAAATTGTGTCAATAACAGATTATTAAATCAAATGTATGAACTTCCATTTTTTAACACTTTTGATTGATGATTCCTATTTTCATTTGATTCTACACTAATAAAAACATACCAATGAATATTATATTACATTTCTACCCATAGATCCTCCTAAATGTTACACACTGGACCTTTAATGTGTTAAATTTGACAGCATTTGACCCCACCTTAGCTATCATACATGAAGTAAACTATGTTGAGTTTAAACTTGGAAGTGCACTTTAGAGGAAACACGAACGCGTGTAAAGTTCAGTTTAGAGTGATGAGAAAAGATGTGAAATCACCCTGGGTGGCTCGTATCGAGGCAAAGACATGTCTGTATGAGATGACCTATCCGCTGGCTTAGTGACTACAATCCATGAACATACAAAGACAAGAAGAAAGGCAGGAAAAACTGGAATTTCCACGGAATTGAGTTTAATAAAAGGCTCGTATTTCTGTAAAATATCCTTGCTCAAATATTCTTGAGTCTGGGATTTCAGTGTGTGTGGGATTTGGCTTCCAAAGCAAATGTTGGAGGCGTATTGATTAATAAAAGTTCAAGCCACTAGCATCATAAAACCCTCATAAAACTCAATTAGGCAGCGCACAATAAATGAAACCTGATGACACTGTTAACCTTTCCCGCAAACACTTAGGGGTGGTGTTTTTTAGGCACAATCCCACGGGACTAAATGAGTAATGATACGTTGCTTGACAACAAATGGAGTGTGTGTGCATGCATTGTTTGTGTCCATTTGTCAGGGACTCACAAGGACACACGTCTCCTTTCAGGAGTAAATCCAGGCACTGCTACACCATCATTACATTACACTGAGCATTTCCTGTTCTCTCTGGCCCTCATAAACGAAAACCTAGAGTCTCAAACCTGTAAACATGAGTAATGGCTTCCCATGCTCCGTTTATCTTTTTACTCCCTTTTCCCCCTCTTTATCTATTTCTTTTTTTGGTTCCTTTCTGCTCTTTCACGGCTGCGTTCTCTTGGCTACATTGTGCCAGATAAGCACTTTACTTCCCCGGACAAATCGTTTGTCTGACGCTACCTCTTCTGTGAAATTGTACTTGTCACATGCAGGCGTGCATTTTGACGAAATACGATCGCACACACATTTCGCCATCGGAGGCTCGGCGGGCAGAGAGAGCGAACACTCCTGCTCGCCTTGTTTCCCACTTTTCAATTCTTCACTTCACAGCCTTCAGCAGAAAAGCGAGAGAACTTTTTTCTGAGACGTTATTTGAAATCCATCTTCAGACTGAAAAGTCTTTTACTTTTTAATCACACTCTTTCAAAGGACTTTTAATCATACTCTTCCTGCAGTGTACTGTATTGTATTGTGTGTGTGTGTGTGTGTGTGTGTGTGTGTGTGTGTGAGGGGGGATGAAGAGAGAAGTGTAACAGTGATGTGGGCAGTGAGTGAAAGCCAAGAGAATAAAAAGAGACCCCATCATTACACGCAGACGTTCTGTCGTTCCATTAGAGAGAACAAAATGACCCTTATCACCCTGTCTTCCCTACAGAGACATAATTGGGTTTTCAGGGGGAAATTTCTTAGGACCTAAATTGCATTTGTTCTGTCTCCTCTCTGCGCTGCTCAGCCCACCCCTGCAGCGAATAGCCCACAAGGGCTCCACAGGAAATAATAATTCCTGTTGTCACACACTGATGGTCATTGCTGCATAACTGCATCGGCGCATGGAGAATAATAACATTAATTCTCTGGTGATGGGTGTCGTCAACTTATATATGAGGCCAATTTCTTTGGGTGCAAGTAGGATGGGGTTGTGAAATTATTAAGAAAGTACCGAATGACCCATCGGTCTTTTGGCCTGTCTGATTGCTTTTTGTACTCCGTAGTACTTGACACATACGTGTGGTTAATCCCTTCAATTAAAGTAACAGAAGGATTTATTCACACAACCAGAAGGTAATTGTGAGCATGGCTAGATTAAACTGCTTAAGGGCCCTAGGCAAAATGAGCTATGGGCCACCATTGATACATTACTACTGCATTATTTATGTAGGGACATTGACATATATTGTGATATAGTACATTTTCTGGAAATCCAATTGGGAAATCATTTATATATATATATAAAATTACCAAGAAGGAATCAAATAAAGTTCAGTATAAATACCTGATAAAGTATCACACTGATGGAGAATCTTACAAATCCAATAAATGCCATAAAGCAGCCCTGAACAATCATTTGTAACATTGCTATTAATGGCAGAATATATTGAGATATTAAAGGGATAGCTACCTTGCAACAAGCACTGACTGGAGCATCTTTCTGATTTGGGAGACCTACCTAACCCTAACCCTAGCCTTACAAAAATTATTCATAAAACCCTTTTCTGTTTTGTTATCGCTATGGTTAAGGGTTGGACAGGTTAAGGGTTGGACAGGTTTAGGGTTGGACAGGTTTAGGGTTGGACAGATTTAGGGTTGGATAGGTTTAGGTGCAAAAAAGTATATTGTTTATGGCAATCAAATTTATTTACCCTTTTTCCAAAGAAAATCCAGTAATTCTGTATGCTCGGACACTCAAGTTCTTGTGTATTTACTCAGTTGTAAGGTTTATGCTTCTCTCTGACTGGATCTTTGTGGTTTGTCCAGCCTTTGTAGGTCCCAGCTAGTCTTCAGGTTTGTCTTAAGCTATTGCTAAGCTAGCAGTTCAAATGGCTCTGAACCACCAGCTTCTTGGCTGTCAGTGAAGGTGGAGGCTTTGGGGTCAGGTTTGCTACACGTATTTCCAGAAATAGATCTGGTTTGATGGTTGTTCAACCAGTCTGAAGACAACCAAACCAATTAGATCTTTGCAACTGATGTTAACAATTGAGGACGCCATCTTCCTGTGGCTGAGCAAAAAAAAAAAAAATGGCAAAAAGTGTTGACTGACGCAGCTGCAAAAGCTGTCCATGTACTGAAGTAACACCTCTTATCAACGTGACAAGAATTACCTACTCTCAGAAACCGCTACCGTGGTTACGACCCCACCCCAAACAGAAATGACAAAAAACTAGATTTCAGGCTGAATGAATGAAAGGAAACATTTAAAGTGATTAGTTAGTTAATACACATTAAATAGCTGAAAAGCTATGAACTGCTATAACCTGGTTTTAATAATAACAGCACACTGGGGGGTTGACAGTTGAACAAATAAGTCCATGAACCATGAATAGAGTAAGAGGCCGTCCAATTCAAAAGATACACTTTGCTACTTCAACTATATTGATGAATTGAATCTGTAGGTCACATAATAAAAGCAATAATTAACTTTAGATGCAGTGGGTCAATCTCATAAAGTGTTTGTGCGTCTCTGTTAAAACATCACACTCAGTTTTCATTATTAATTGTCTCTGTGTTCCTTCTGAGGTTCTCTGTCTTGTAATGAGCCCATTTCTATTCATTGTTGTGTAGTTTGGCAAATCATAAACAGCATGAGAACAGTGACAGGCCATGTGTGCAGTGAGTAAGTGTACAAACACACACAGGAGTCTCTGTATGTGGCTAAATTACAGGGAATGGAGTGTATGGAGCAGTTTAATCTCTGTGTAAACTGAGTGGGTGGTCGAAACTGCAGATTCATAATGAGAGGGGGAAAGACTCTGCAAGTGTGCAGTTGAAGCAGGGAAAACTCCCTCTTCCATTGATTTTCCTGTCTTTGTGCTGCTCTAGTGGTGAAATTAAAGCTTAGGAGTTCTGAGTACTTCAGATGCGCTGACCCTGTGTTGCTGAAGAAGCTAAGTCTATACAGCATTGTGTGTTTATACCTGTTTCTTCTGCTGTCTGTTGCTCTAATCTCATTTCTTTCTTTTAACTGTTAGAACACATTAAAGTTCTGGTGGGGAATAATAGATTCTGCTGTACGGTTTTCCACCAAATATGATGGTTCTGTGTACTGGATAAATGGATAAACTCACACTACAGAGGTTGTGGTCGTCTCCTCAGGTATATATTGGAGAGAAGACCACATAATCCATTGTTTGTGTCAGACATGATGCCTCAGTGATTTTTCCTTTGTCTGGAACAATGAGTTGACTACAATCAGTCTCCGTTTTCCCCTTTATATTTCTCTCTCTGCAGCAGCGTAGCTCATTATCCTCTCTCTCTCTTATATGCTCTTTATCCACTGACAAAATCTTGCCAAGGGGATAAAATTAGTGCATTAATAACAACCTATTAAAACTGCATTGCATTGCACTGCTGGATTACTTATTGACATCTGGAGAAACTGTTGCACTAGCAATCAGTTCTTCTTGTTGGGACGACAATAAAAAACACAAGGAAGAGAAAGATCAAACAGTATTTATTATCATCTTAATATAATTTATATTTAGATAAAACTAAGATTGACTATTAAGTGTAGTGGTGCATATGTTAAACAATGAATTCGGTGTATACATGCACAACTTTTGCAGGATGATCAAGTTCGCATTAAGCATTAAGTTTGTGTTTTCTTCTTGTTTTGTGTGTAACAAAGCCTGCATGAATGCTTCTGCTATGAAACACAAAGAATCACAGTAATTCCAGTAAAGGTTGTGTCTCAAGAAAAAAACAAACAAACCAATAAATTGTCAGTAAACCATCTGTTTTTTTCAGAGCCTCCAAAGTTAAGTACATCTCTGAATCTGTTTCCATGCACGTCTCTCCCTGTCTGTCTGTGGTCCGAGGTCAGTAAGTCTGTTTTTGTGTTCAGGGACTGTCTATGTTTTAGCGGTCAGCGTTCATCTTCCGTAGCTTCGCCGGCAAGTTGTCCTCTGGCCTCCCTCCAGCTGAAAGCAGCGGGCTGTGCATGGGGACCGGAGCAGGGGACAGCGTGGGCGCTAGGCTGCGCTGGTACAGGTCTCCAGTAGACTGGGTCATGGGTTCAAAGCCCACCTTGAGGGACTTGAGTTGCAGTCGATCCTCCACCTCGGGTCCCGGCGAGGAGCTGAGGCGTTGGAGCTTTAAGGGCAGGTCTCCCGTGCTGCAGGCCTTCTCCGAGTGCTGGGAGCTGAGCATAAGCACCTTCCTCTGCAGGTCCTCCTTCCCTGATGAACTCATCCTCTGCAGCTTGCTTGGCAGTCGACCCCCAGTCCCTCCGTGACGGCCCCTTTCCTCTGATGTGTTGATGCAATCCACGGAAAACACCCGGTCACGTCGGGCGCCGTGGCTCTCAGTCAGTGCGGGGGTTGGAGTAGAAAGAGGTGAGGGCAGTGAATTCTTCTCTTCGTGCTCCTTGACGCTGTATGGTGGTGTCGGTACCTCGAACGTGCTGTGGAACTGCGAGTAGTCTACCCTGAAAAAGCCCTCCTCCAGGGACATCACCGGCAGGAAACGATGACCCCATAAAACCTCATCCTCAGTATATGATGTCCGTGCCTGGCATGTCATACCTACGAGAGAGTGACAGTGCAGTAATAATACATAAATAAATTGGGTCATTTATTGGCTGACAAGGAGGAATGCGAAAGGGCAGCATTCTCTCCCATTATCTCTTTTTCCGCTCTGCTGTCTCTTATTGCTTGTAGAATCACTGCTTCATGCTCCTTCCTGTGCAATCGACCATCTAGTCCCATTAAGTCACATACTGGAGATTTAAATACTGTTTCAACACTAAATCCACAGGGAAGGATTCTTGCCATTTCCCAAATGGTTCACGAAAGCAGCTAAACAGCGATTACGTTGACTATTATACTGACTATTATTACTACTTAATGTCTTTCGATAATCTAAGCGTGTCACCTTTAATGTACTGAAATAGAATAACAATGATGTACTTATGTACCATTTCAGAATTATTTATATTTATATCCTGGGTTTTTTAATTGTTCTTCTATATTCCTTCCTGAATGTCAAAGCAGTGCTGTTTGTTTCCATTCAATGATTGGTGCTGTTAATAAAGGTGAAAGGTTATTGGTGCTTGTTATCAGTGCGGCTTGTGTTAGTTGTGATAATGACCCATTCAAAACTGATCAGCATAATTAGCAGTCACACAGCACCATTCCCACATCAATACATCAATGGCAAGAGACATGTCCTGTCACGTACATAAATACATGTTACTCTTGTGGTGCTGATTGTGGATTGTACTGGCCTGAATCTCAAAGACAGTCATATATCGACTCACTAATGTAATTCAATTCAAGGACGACACATCAAGAAGCAAAGATTTTCTAGTAATATTGATGCCTGCGTGTCTGCTGTGTGCAAGCATCACGAACATACTTTTTTTTCTTTGACCTCAGCTATTGTAAAATAATTTTCTTGACATTTCAATGCTTGTTGGAGGTCCTTCGCAATCGATAGGCATTAGTCCATATTTGTTCTGATCCACTGGCTCTGCTCCAACCTGAGCTTTTCTGTTAAACACTACAGTTAGCTGTAGAGTAGGAGTCTGATCCCGTCCCTCTGAGGGATGATATGCGCAGTGTTATGTCATAGCCTGTTGCTATTCCAGGCTCACTACTCATCTTCATCCACAGAAAACCTTCAACAGTCCTACATCTACACAAAGGTCATTTTTATTCTTAATTAGCCCAGAGGCTTGGCTTTAATCACAAGGGCTTGTCTACGATAATTTTCCAGCTCTATTCTCCTCTCCTACCAGGAGAATGACTCTTTCTGCTGACTGTAGATAAACAAGACAGCAGTAATACCAGTGCAGTGAAAGCTTGTGGGTTTAGAGCCTGACGGGCATGCCAGTTTTGTATCATCATACAGGCCTCATATGGGTATTCAACCAGCTGGTTAATGTTTACTGCATCTTGCATAAAAATAAATGCCCTCAGCACAACTATGCAAACACTTGGCAGACAGCGAGCAGGGCGTCCCTGAAGAAGACTTTATGTAAAATTCCTGGCAGTAGCCTTCACTGGCACTGTTCACACACGGAATTAGGATGCTTTGCCTTTTTTGCGAGACTTCATTTGAATCTGACCACTCGATAAACAAACGCAGAGAGTTGTGTGTCATCTGCATATTACTGAAAGTGTAACCTACAGATGGAGTTCATATGCTAGAGCAAAAAAAAAGTAAAGGGACTTATATCAAGACACATTCACGACCCTCAATGGTACACTCAGTGGTTTACAGAGATTTGTACTAAGAGGTCCTCTGTTAAATTTGTTCAGCTGTTTTTTAGAGGTCTTCACAGACCTCTTTGTTAATTATTAGCGCCTTGTTATCCAGATTGTTCACGTTTTCTCCTTGTGTGAAGGAGCTACGTAATATCCAGTTTCAAATACTGGTATTATCTGCCAGCCTTATCTAAGTTTACCGTCTACTGTTTGCCTGATTCCATGTAAATGCAGCATAATTGGGTCCAGATAGGCAGGGTCTTGCATTTGACCTATTAGTTCTGATCATGTCATGTGGTATGTCACAATCATCAGAGAGAGAGACAAATTGTAGGCTTAGAGTGTGAATATACCTTTTCACAGCAGCAATTTTGATATGAAATAATAGGGTAAACACAAGTTTGTTTAAGGTTAAAGTTCTGTTCCATTTACTGTAGCAGTACGTTTACAATGAGCCAACATGGCACAGGCACTCCACAGGCAATACCAGCATCTTGACTCTGTTTGACCTGATTGGAACAGAACCTGTGTTAACTCTACTATTTCATGTCGAACTGCTGTGAAAAAGTACACTACTGTGACGTTAAGGAACAAAATGACATGTATGTCTGCCACCTTGTGGTGGATAATGCTGCTACAATGGTCGTCGTTCTCTCTCTCTTGTGTTGTCGGTTTGTGTTTGGGTTGGATGTACAGTTGGGTTGATTTCATTTTGTCATTTTGTTTTTTTGAAAATGTATTTACATACGTCAGGTTCTAGTATGTTTAGCATGGGTCCATTTTGGTGTTTTTTGGATGAAGAGCATTGATTTCAAGACATTCTGAAATGTCAGGACTGGATTGATTTGTCTTTTCTATACCAAAGAAATGAAATCAATAAAGTGATGATGTTTAGCTGAGTTTTGTCACTGTATTGAGACAATAAGTGTAGAACAATAAACACTGTAAATGTGAAGGTTATATTTTCTACATGCTCCATCTTTCCACCCACTCTCTGCTCTAGCTGCTTACACCTGTTCAGGCTCACATATTGTTTCAAATCTGACCTTCAGTTGTGCAGAGAAACACATCTCAAACACCAATCTCTTTCTGCTTTTCTTCTGACGTCTAAAAGCAGGATCAATACTGCCTCTAAGACTCAAACTAAAACAGACAAGAATTAGTTATCTGTCAAGTCTGGTTGAAACATAATTAGAACGAGTTGGGGGGAGACAATCAACTCGCTGAACAGCTGTGTCAGCAGCAGCTGGATGTGAGGGGATAACTCTTAATGTGTTTGGGTTAATGGGATTTGCGTTAGTTTGGGGATGACGGGATACTGTGGCCGATTGAAGGTGACACTGCCAGGGCTTCCCTCCTCTCCTCCTTAGCTCTGAGTGCCACAGCACTGCGACACTAAACTTGTGGCTGCACCCTGATTTAATGGTATTATCACCAGAGCACAGACCGTGTTGCCTGCATGCCTCTACGCTTCTCTGCTGATCCCTCCCTCTTGCTCTAAGTCTATTCGGCTCTGTGGTTTCTTCTACAGCAGTGGCAAACTGAGGGTTATGGGGGATGGATAGAAGCTAAAAAGAAAAGGGCCAGATGGATTTATTTGTATTGGACTTTAGGGAAGAATCATTCAGTTAAATATGCAAAAGAGAGAACAGTGTTGTCGCTGAGAGTACTCCAGCATGGTTGCCTGTAGTTTACAGCAGCCACTGTATAACAATGTCTCACAGGCTCAGAATTACCTCTGCTCTCGGCTGTCATCTGAAAAATGGAGTGGAACTTCTACTAAAACCCCGGCTCATTCATCAAAGTGACACACGCATCTATGACCACAGGCTTTTATTATGCATAGGGTGGGCTTCAACCGATTCTGCAGTAATAAAATATCCCTCATAATTCAATCAGGGTGTCATTCTCATGTGTTGTTCTCATTCTCAATTTTTTTTGCAGCTCCTGCACTCTTCAAATATGCAAAACTGAAGAAGATGGAGAAATGAGATTTTACAGAGTTTAGATTATGAGTATCTATTAGACAGAACTGTTATGTGGGTTGATATTAATATGAATTTACATTTAGATTGAGAGTGAGAGGAGTGAAGAAAAGAAGCAATGAGAATGGGACATAAGTGGATACAAAAAGCATAAAAGCAAAAGAGGTGAAAGAAGTTTCAATCCCTCACCAGTGGTCTCCACGATGCCCTCGAGGATAACCACGATCTCAAACTGTTCGTTCATGAGAGAGCGCTGGGATAGGTCAAAAAAGGGGCTCTTGGGATTGATTTCGTGGCAAATGGTGAGAGGGGACACCAGGAAGAGCTGGTCTGCCCCCGTCCCAAAACCAACATCCAATTCACACTGGTCCAGAGGCAGGAACTCGCCCTCGGGCGTCTGACGAGACTGAAAGATAGTCGACAACAAGAGGGAGAAAGAAGGGGGGACACAGGGCCAAGGAAGTGGAATAAGGGTAGAAAAGAAGAAGAAAGAAACAGAGAAGAGAGGATTAGATGCACGTTATCGCAAAGCAGAGCAATACAGATTCTTGTTCTGGCACAAATTGTCTTCCTGTCGTCTTATAAAAGAGGACACAAATCTTCAGCCCCCTGTGGAAGAAGTAATAAGATCTTTTACTTAAACATACTACAAGGAGTTTTTAACTGGTTATGAAAGAGTCTCAATTTAACACTGATGCCTCTATATGACCTACATAAACACCAGGTCACATTCTGTCAGATTCCCCTTGAAATAAATGTAATGTAGGAGATTCATCTCCCACAGTAACAAGGTTACTGCTTCTGTCCACAGAATCAGCACATCATTAAAGTTTCTTGTAGGGGCTTTAAGTGACGGTACTAATAGCACCATGTAAAGTACTCCATTATAAATACATTACAAGTCCTGCATTCAAAATGTTACTTAAGTTTCTAGCAACAAAATGCACTTAAAATATCAAAAATAAATGTACTAGTTCAGCAGAAAATTACCCTGTGAGTGATCTATTATTATATATTATGTTATTAGATAGTTTATACTATAAGCAGCATTTTACTGTTTATACAGTTACATAGTTTAGTCCAGTGGGTAAAACTGAGAAACCTGAGGGGTTTTAAAGGACGAGTAGGTAAGAATTAGCCCTATTGACAGCCAATATTTGGTTTGTCCAAAACCAGAAAGAATCTTATTTTCAGGTGATTATACACTAATGAAAACATAATTATGCATACTATATTCCATTTCTGCCAATAGATGCTCATAAATCTTACACACTGTACCTTTAAAATGATTAATGAGAGTGTTCTGATACACAAATTTGTTTGATTCTTCTTGAATTGTTTGTGAAATATTGGATTTTTGTATCTCTTCGGGCCTCAAGCTGTTACTTAAACGAGAGAAGTTTAAAGGGGAAATCTCTTGGTAACAACTCATAGACATCTGCAATGTGACAAGGGGCCTCAAAGGCACCTTTTCTTGTAAAGTTCGGTGTATTTTGTTTTATATGCAATGTTTTAAAAGCAGAAAGTGGCAGAAAATAGAACTACCCAAGTAGTACAAGCACCCCAATATTGTACAATAAATGTAGTCTCCACCAGACCTTCAGTCTAAAGGTGAGATGGGGTGAATCTCTAAATAAATCACCCTGTTGGAAAGCTGATGGAAGAGGTTTTCTCCCTCCATCTGTCTCCTCTTTCTCAAGATATCCACCGGTGCCCTGTTTGGAGTGGTCACAGACATTGATTTGTAGAAAGAAACCTTGCAGGCGGACACATGAGACAGCCTTATGTGGACAGGACTTGCCCACAGAGTGTTAACTGGTGCGGAAGCATTTAATTGCCCAAATGACGTTGGAACACAGCACCGAGGTCCTCTATGTATTTTCTCCTTTCCTGTCTCTTTGTGTCTAATCAATCTGTTCACCTTTTCTCTTCCTGTTTGCTTCCAGCATGAAACAGTCTGTTTTACCCCCTTTTTCCCTTCGATTTCTTACATCTTGCCCTCACAAGGCATGGCACACTCAGAAAGCGTTCATATATCGATAATATTACAATATCAATTACAATATTAATAAATTTATATAATTCACTGTTAGTGCAATTCAAACAGGCTATATCAGTGTAATTTAAGAGAAAAGGATTATCTTTGCAAATCATCACATTTGTGATAATAAGGAGCAAATTTCTTTGAAGTGTCTCACATAAGACACTTCATGTTGTTGTTTTTAATGTACAATATCTTTCTTTTCTACTTAAAATAGCCTCACAAAATTTCCACTAGCTTGGGGAACTTTCTTTGTAAGTCAACAATTAACAACAACAACAAAAAAATCGGTGTCAAGTTCTCATGAAGGATTTAATAGCAAGCTAATTTTTTACACTCTTTTCTCTTTTTCTACATTGTTACACCTCCAACCAATAATTGGGATGCGTCAACCACCACCCACACACACACACACACACACACACACACACACATAGACACAGCTTCATAATGATCTCCCACACAGATACACACACCCCCATCTCTACAACCCTTTCTGCCATTTCTGGATCTTTTGTTCTCATTCTAAATCCTAAAATAATCAACACATTATTCCCACAAAGGCAGTTTCCTCTTTCAGCTTTTATTACTGAGTCAGTGTCATCTGGTGATAATAAAATAGATAAGTGGATAATCTTTGACATCAGCGCACTGAAACTTATAATAGTAACAGTTACTGTTGCTACGCCTTTCCGGGCCTCACACTGAATCACAGACAGGACATATAATGTTTTGCAATAATAATGGCAGCAGATTTTACCATCAAAATTCTGGATCTTTAATTTCAGACAAAGCAGAAAAGAAAAGCTCATTGGCTGAAATGGCGACTGCAATTGCTTGCAGATTTTATAAGCTGTAGCTTTTAGCTAATTAAGCTAATGTTAGCTCCGTGGGTTGGTTGGAATCTGCTGTCTTTGGCGGAAATTTGTAATGTTTCCAGTGGACTCATTTTGTAATGAGAACCTTGTAAACGCTTGCCTCTTAAATATGCACTTGATGCCCCAGGCAAACACCCTCCCCAGCTGATGATCCATGAATGCTTGGAAATAAAGAAAACAGCATTGTTCTTGCATTGCAATGTAGAACCGGATAGCTATAGTAGTTTAAGTATGAAATAAACTATTTTCAAACAGTAGGTTTTCACTGTTAACATTACAAAATAAAAGACTTTCTAGGATGAGGACTAACTGATGTGTTTGACATAATGGTAACATTGGCTCGAGATGCTGGAGTGCAGGACGGAGCTGATAACGAGACTAAACTCTGATAGCAAGCAGGACTGGCTTGAGCTGCGATGATTGGTCGATTCATTGATTTATTGTCAACCATTGGGTCATTTTCTTTTGCAAATTCTCTGATTTCAGCTTCTCAAATGTGAATATTTTCTGGTTTCTATGACGGTGACTGAATACCTTTGGGTTGTGGATAAAAGGAAACATTTGAGGACGTCACTTTGAGCTTTTTTTTTTAAATGTCATTTTATAGACCAAAGAACTCATCAATTAATCGAGAAAGTGGTCGGCAGATTAATCGATAATGGAAATGAATTGTTGGTTGCAGCTTACTACACTGTGGATTCGAGAACATACGTTCTTTTATCATAACCCGTAAGCCCACAGACTTGTTAATGGTGTGCTCACTGGTCCTGGAATTGACTATATTACGTTTCTGCAGGTGCTAAGCTAGTTAGCCGGACATTCTGAGACTTGGGTCAAACTTAAAAATCAAAGTACAAGATGGTTTCCGGCTTTTTAGATAGTTCTTATCGTGCTGATCAATGTTCAAGTGTAAAGTTTGGTTTTAATTTGTTATTTTAAGCTTTAAAAAGCAGGTTTTTATATCATGATTGGCTGCTGAGCCCTGCTCACGATTGAGTTTTCCAGGCGTATGGGCTTCATATGGAAGGAAGCAGAGACGAGAGGTCCATATTTTATATGTGGATGGAGTATACAGACACTGCTTTATGCTTTAGCTCTTGTGTTTTGAGGGTTTGGAAAAAAATGACTCTCCAAATTGTTAAAATGCTGAGTATCACTTATTCTTACACTGCTTCCGCATGCAGAGAAATAAAGTATGACAGACCTGATGTGCCATGACACAGAGACAAAGCTTAAAACAACTCAAGAGAAGTGTTTTGAACTAATGTCAGAATAAGTTATGCTCCAACTTCATGAAATGACTTTAAAAGCATTAAAGCATCATATTTAGGCTACAGGGTTTCTTAACCTTGTTCCTGGCTATATCATGAAATAAAACACTAAAGACAACAAGATAGGGATTTATGTCAGGTTTCAAAGGGTAAGCAAAATGTTTTCAACCATAAATAAATAGTTTCATTGGCTTTACTACATCTCCTCTCTCATCCATCCATACCACTCCTGTGCTGCAGCTCCCAGCCAGCTTCATTGTGACCTCCCAGTGACACTGCCGCATAGCTGATCCCTCTGAGACGCAAACTGTGAATGAAGTGTGAGTAAACGGGCTTTACATTGCCAGAAAACATTGCGTTCTATTTCTATCTCCTGTGAATATCAATGAGATGCTTTTCTGGATTTCCAGAGGGATGGGGTCGGACATTATTCATTTTTCAGGTGCTTACAGGCTGCTGAATACTGTTTGGCATCGCTCCTCAATAAGGGGTATCTCATGCTAGCAAAGGGAAATTCTACTTTTCACTTTCTGTCTTTGTCGCTTAAGATTAAAAAGATGGATGACTATATGCAAACATTGGCAGACAGAGCTCCTTTGCACAGGCCCCCGTCGGCACTCTCCTACGCTTCTTCGTGCACAAAGATTCTGAGATAGCTGAGCTTGTCTACTGTTTTTTTTTTTCTTTTCCTGTAAATCTGACAAACAAACATTTTTCTCCCTCAGTCCTGATGTATCCAGACAGGGACTTTTTAAAATTCATTTCAGGGAGATTTGCAGCAGGAACGTCGGACACATCTGTTCTACCCATCACGTCCGACTACTCACCTACCCAGTCAACCTGTCAGCTGCTCATCATCATTAGAAAGGCAACGTGGTTTTTATCCGCAAAAGGAACGTTGCAGCGGTGTGACTGATGCTCATGGATGAAGACAGGTGATAAATATAATTGATTAGACCTAAAGTGGCCTGATCTTCCTACTCAACTCCACTCCATGCTCTGCCGGGCCTTCATCAATCAGAAGCCTTGAGACGGGTGTGGGAGGGGAGGGGGGAGCTTGTAGGCAATCAGGTCGACTGACAAGCCGAATCACGCAGGCTTTCTCACTGCCAGATAATGTCTGCCTACTCAGTACATCTAGAAAAGGCTGGGACAGTCGAACGTTTCACCCAGCAAACACTGAGTGAGATAAATTGGTCAAATCAAATCAAGAGTC